GTTTTACACCATAGCATTTTAAACGAGTAAATTAAGTATGATTTAAAATAAAAATAGGATATATATAGCATTGTGGAGCCACCACTGTACATGCAGACCATCATCGACTGAAATATCACTTTGTAACTACAGGACTGTATTATCGTCTTGTATTCCAGCCATTCCTATAGTCTCCTCTCGGAAGTAATTTTAAATTCAGCATAACCTTTAGTGCTAATGACAATACTGTTTTACCAATCAGAAAGCATTTGGACTTTTTTGTTTTTTTGTTTGTTTTGTACTGAGGATTGAACTTGGGCCCTTGCACTTGTGAAGCAGGCGGTAGAACCACTAAGCTAAGTCCCTGGCCCTGCATTTGGACTTTATGTTTTTTTGTTGTTGTTGTGGTGGTGGTTTTTTATTTTTTTGGTTTTTTGAGACAGGGTCTCCCTACATAGTTGAGACTGACCTGGAACTCACTATGTAGCCCAGGCTGGTCTCAAACTCACAACGATCCTCCTGCCTCAGCCTCCCAAGTGCTGGGATTACAAGCTTGCGCCACTATGCCCGGCTTGAACTTTTAAAAATTACATCCACAAGTATTATTTGGATAATTTAATTATCACATTTTGGGTGATTGTGTTCTGACAGTTTTTCATTTTGTTCAAGTTATTATTTAATAGACATTGAAATATTAGATAAAACTATTCAATATTTGGTTTTTAAATGCTAGACAGTTGGCTTTATCAAAGTTAATCACATATTCTAAATGTATACCTACCTATGTGATGGATATATTAAATTTTTCCTTTGCTAAGACCTTGGTTCATCCCATTTCCCTTTCTGTTAATAACCACCTTCTGGCCAAAGATTCCATTTAATCTAGTCAGGTATGCAGGTTTCCATTTAAAAAAAACTACTTACTATAAATTTTCCTTGAGCCTATAGTCACTGTTTAGCCATCTCAAAGTATCTCCATTTTGCTGCTTCCAAACCTTTTGAGTCTCAATCTCAACTTTATCGGTTCTTCCAACTACCAGACGCCTCCATGTCTGTCTGTTGAAATAATTCTCATCTAAACAAGCTGATTTTTTTAGATAAGTGGCCCGAGGATGGCTTCCATTCCCAAATACCCCGTAAATATAGTGCTTAACAAATCCTCATGAGTACATTTCATGTCAACCAGTGGGCCAGTGTAGTTATCCACTACAAATACAGCCTTGCAGCCTACCTCACCTTCTACAGACATAGTAGGCTAAAAAAGAAAGACATAACCATTAATGACTATTTTCTGTGGAGAAATATACTACGTAAAGGTAAATCTCTAAGAATAATTACTCACCCACAAATACCCATAGACTTTCTCAAAATACTATTTTACATAATTGAGTGTTTTCGTATAATCATAAAGAAATAAATCGGGACACTCATCTTTATACACAGGGGACTTATGTATACCAATCTTCACAAAAATTAGAATAATAGATTTTTATATGGTACCTTGAGACGTAATTAAATGTATTGAAACTAATGTCCCAGAAAAGTCTGTATTCACAATCCATGTCTCATGTTTGACTGTGTATTTGGTCTTGGAACTAAGTATGTATCATTCAGCATTTGAGTACATCAGTTAGCAGTTAATATGTAACATACGTGTTTTCCTAATGAGGATCTCAGTGTGGAGTCTCATCATGTCCCTTTCCACATCTCTATTCATGAGATGTACATATATTTAGAAGGTAGTTACTTCATTCAAATAACATGTCTCTTTAGACAAGTAACACAAATCCCTTTATAGATCAGTAACAGATATTCTGAGTGTGTTATGAAAGAAAAGTAATGTAAAAAATAAACGAAGCATAGTAAAGATTTAACTTATCCCTTAAAAACATGATCTATAATATAATAGAGTGAAAAAACTTGTATGCAGCTAAATGTATAAAACAGTAATGATATGCTCTGATTTTTTTATAGTTCAACAGGTGCTAATTTAAAAAAAGTGGAAATGATGTTGAATACATGAATAAGTCAGTCCATAAAGCATTTATCCAGGACCTCACAAAATAGATTATGTGGAATTAATCTATTTTTCCATTTTTAATATTTACAACTTTTGCTCTTTCCTAAATATATTATTTTCTCATAATAATGAGCCATTTTGCTATGTGGTACTTAAAAAGAACTTTCAGTAACCATAATTGACCGTCTATACAGGCAGCATTACACATACACATTTTCCTTTTAAAGTTTAGTGATGATATATCACCCTTTTATCATAGTAATTTAGAAAAAATAAAACTGTCTTAAAGTCAACACGATGTTTTTAAAAGCTATTAGTGAAAATTGTCCAGTTATCATGTCTTATGAGTAAATTTTTCCATATAAAAATAATACATTTTCATTTCCTATACAATAATTACAATTACTTTATTTTTCTTGATATTTATTGAACTTATTCCCACAAAGAATTTTTTAAAACAAGATGAGCTACTTTCTACTTAGAATTTAATATAAATATAATCACAAATTCACACTATAAGCTAATTGTTAACTATTGATGTAAAATGGTAACACGTTAATGTAGCTCATAATTGCTTTTTGTAAAGTAATAATTTGTTAGAAGACAAACAGAATGGTATCTTAAATGAGACATCTGAATCATGCTTTTCTTTTGGAAGCATGAAGACATTTACAACAGGGCCCAGCAGTGGGTCATTTTACTACTCAAGTCTTTAGACTTGATATCTTTACTCAAAAGTGTGGCTCACTTCTGAAAAGAAAAATTACTCTGTACATCTTCCTATCGCAAGTGTTAGATAGATTTAATGACAAGACATGAAAATGATATGGTAGTGAAAACACAGTACTACCTCACATTTCACATAAGAACAGTTTAAGCAGAATATTTGCAATTCAGTTTCATCAGCAGGAGTGACTGGATGTGAATCATAAGGCATTTTAACAGACAAAGGTGATTTATATTCTTATCAACCTAAAAATGATAAAGGATTGATTGATTTCAAGCTATATCACAAACTATTACATGAAGTGCGATCTGCCAAAACACCAGATGGAAAAGCATGCTCAGTGCAAGATTGGTTTTGTGATCCACCTCTAAATGATGCAGTCATATTGAGTGAGGTGTGTGTCACACTAACCATTAACAGGGATTTCCCCCATAAACTCAGCATGATTTTTGCTGCAAAAGGATTCAAGACACACCATCCTACATGTAGAACAGATGACAGCCTCTTCTGACAGTACTTCAGCTTTTTCATTGTTTGAGAATTCTCTAAAATGACCAAATCACTAAGCAGATCAACAAGGAAAAAAAAAAAATCTTGGCTTGAAAACTTCCCCCTACTGCTTGGAAGTGGTACCTAGCCATAGAAGTCAAGAATAAAGCAGCTGCAGGATGGTGAAACAACAGAAAATAAAAAGGGGAATTTTTTTTTTTTAATGAAGAAGAGGCTTAACGGCAGGTTAACCAAGGGAGTCAGTCTTTGGGAAAAGGAAAAGGGAAAATATGTTATATTCTGGAATAGGAGTTTCAAGTTAACATTTTAGCTGCTAGAGAAAGAGTCCCTGAACCTTCTTGCTGAGCAGGCATATATCCTCTTCAGTCAAATGAAAGCTCCTATTTTGCATATGGCTGTGCACTTGAGTGCCTAAGACAATTCGTCAATCAACTGCTCCTGATTTGGGAAGAGTCACCATCTGCTTTGCAATTCTGAAGTGATATTCTACTGGAATCAAGGAAATAATTACAACATAAACCTATGCGGTTACATTACTTTCTAAAAATAATATTGAAAAATTAAAAGATTTAAAATTGCTTAGAATAATTTAATAAACTAATGGTGGTATTAAAAAATGAAGACTGGTATTTCTGGGAAACTATGTGCTATTTTGTAAATTTTACAACTGATCAAGTATGCAGTAAAGATTAAACAACAGCAAACTCATACCTACTCGACATGGTTGAATTTTTCCTGCTTTGATTCTGTGTAATGAAATTTAGAACTATAAACATATACTCAGAATGCAATCCATTTACATTTTACCCTCCTCAGCACGCAAGGTAATTTTCTTGCTGAGCAGTTTGTGAATGAGCATCAAAATACCTGATGAGAAATTGAAAATCGCGAAATGGTTACAGAATCAGCCAAAAGTATGTCAGCTGCCTCTCCAGAGGAAACAGAGCAGTGCACAGATCTGTAAGAGGCATCAGGCGCCTTGAAGTACGTAGGTTTTGAAGTCACAGTGACCCCAGCATAGAGAAAATAATAGTAGTAGTATTAAAATTAAGAAAATGTGTTTCAATTACTGATGGTCTCTTTGGGAAAAATGATTTGTTATCATGTCCTTCATCACATTTACTTTCTCCTTAACATGATCATCAAATGAGTAATAACCTTAAGATAATTTTGAAATGCATATTATGTAACTCAGCAGATCTGGTAATCTATAGCTTTGTCACTTGTCCCAGATTACTTTTGCGTCAGGGAACTCAAATGGCTGTGCACGGAGAAGCAGAACATCAAAGCATTTAAATTGTCCGATAGTTGTATTTCTAAATGAACGAAGCTTAACGTTATCGCTGTCAGTGGGGTAGCAAGGGAGGGGGACAGGTATAGAAGCTGTTGAACAAAGCGTTATTTTGTTGCTAAAATCAGATATCGCAAAAAGCAGTTATGAAATAGCCAGGTGAGTGCCCAGGCTGTCTACTTGTTTGCACTTGGAAACCAGCCCTGCTAAGGCGGTGAGCGGTGACAGCCTCTCGCTGCGCTTTCTCCGTAACCTCAGCTCCGAGGACGACAGACTTGTTTGGAACTTACCGAAGTTTCCTAAAGCCAAATAGCGCGCCAGCTCCGGATTCACACGCCGGGTCGGTGCTCAGCCTCCCCGCTGGGCTCCCGACTCCGCCCGGCGCCACTTTATCAATCACGCATGAACGCGTTTGCGCGGGTCCCCCGGAGCGAGCCTGGCACGCTGCAATCCCGACCGCGCGGAAGGCTTACCTGAGGGCAGCAGGCGGCTGCAGGAAGCCACAAGCCCGCCGCTCGGAAGGTGCGACCCTCGCCTCTCTCCCGCGCTCCGCTGTCCTCCTCGCCTCGGAAGCACGGCTGCCGCGCACCGCCTCGCGTGGTGCCCCGTTTCGTTCACTGAAGGGCCTCCGGGCCGGGCAGCCAGCAGACACCACTTTCTTCCTGGAAGAGGCTGCCCTCTTCTGAGAAATGCCCGGAGCCCTCTCTGCGGCTCCCTCCACGTTCACCCTCCGGATCGATGCTGCTCGGGAGCTGCGGGCTCCGCTGCAGCCGCGAGCTGCGAGCCAATGGGCGCCCGGGACGCCTCCGCTGTCATCTCCCCGCCCTCAAAACAAAACACAGCGTGCCTTCCGCACGAGTCGAGTTGTGAAAAGTAATTGAGTTTTACATTTGCAATGTGTCCTGTTTGTTCTTTTCTCCACTAGATCGTTGCAGAATGCTTTGAAGGAACTGGAGGACTGCATGCCCCACAGAAGACTCATTAAAGAGGCCCAGCGAACGGTCACGAAGGTTCTGTGCTGGGAGGCAGCGCCTGGCTCAGCACCTGAAGCTTTGCTTGGCAAATGCTTCAAGTCCGTTGAAGATCAGGGAACCGGCAGGACCCCGAGGCCAAAGGCTCGGGTCTGATCTTCACTAAGTAGCTTGTTTCTTTTACTGCGCAACAACGCAATTCCATTTACCTGGAAATGGTCTCATTATTTAAACATTCCCCGGAACAAGGCGCAGATGATAATTGGTACCAATCGTAGACACGGGGTTTCTCCTAATTCGTTCACCTGCTTCTAGCTGACCTAACTTGGGTCATAGTCTATGAAGAGCTAAAAATTATTCAGACTATTGTGTTGGTCCGGTCTGTTTTAATGTGTTCATCTTCACATTTTGTAAGCTTTTAAAATTAGAGTAATTGCTTTCCCAGAGAGAATTTGTTTAGTGTTTGCTCAAAAACGTCATAAGGTATTTTAATGGTAATAAAATAGTATAATGGGAAAATATCACTGTGGAAAATAATGTGAACAATTCCTCTAAAATCCCCCAACCCACAATGCGTCCTTTATTTGTAAGGATCTGTCTTTGTATATCTCTACAAAGGTGTTATGTAGGGAATAAAAATTTGCTTAAACAAGTTCATCCGGGATCATTTATTTTGTCTCCAAAAAGCTGTCGTTTTACCATTTCTATGTCAATACTGCAGCAATATTTGAGAATTTTTGTTTTATCTTAGTAAAAGTATCTCAAGAGTTCGGAGTCTCAAAGCAACCTTAAAATGTTTGTAAGAATGAGTAGGATTGAAAGATTAAGCAACTACACAAATAGTAATGTCTTTTCAGTGTCAGCATTGAATAAGAATAAAATTAATGTGTCTTTCTGAAGCCTTTATTGTTCCACTGAAGTAATGTGAATAGGTTGATGCACTTGGTGTAGCCAAGCTTTGTGTATGATGACAAGTTAAAATAGCTTGGGGAGACTTTACAAACAAAACAATTTCATTACCTGTCCATCATGTGAAGGAGCCACGGAAAATGTAATATTTACAGCATTGTATGGTGTCACTATAAAAAAGGGTGAATGCTAACTTTCTTGTAACTCATTGATGTAGCCAATAAAATTTTATTGAGGGCAATATTTGGCTAAGTGTAGTCACCTGGCTTTTGTAAGGCAAAGATGATGCTGATGAAACATGAATGTTGTTTTTTTTTTCAGTTTTATAATATAAAATTCATTTACTTAATCCATCTTTTGATGACATGTAACAAATCATTGAATACAGAACATTATCTTTGTTCTGGAGGTGAGTGATTCTCAGTGTGAGTTCCTCAGTAGAGCAGTGACTATTTTGAAGGCAAATTCTCAAGCCTTTCCCTAGCCTACTGAGTTGACCACTCTAAGAATACCTAAGAATGTGTGTTTAATTGCCTCTCAGGTGAATCTAATACATGCAAAAGTTTTCAAGGCATTGCTCTAAGAGTCTACAAACTACAGTTTAAGTACAATCACCTGAAGCTTTGGAAAATAAAGTCTTATTGAAAACCCGTCACTTTCCATTGCATATTGTTAATGGCTCCTGTTGCTCTATAGCTGAAACTAGGTTTCAGAAAGTGTATTTGTTCTTTCTGTTACTGCTGGGACCAAATCCTTGGCTCCCACATCTTAAAGGAGAGGCTCTTGGTTCTTTGGTTCATGGTTTCAGATTTTTCAGTCCAAGTTTTAATGGTTCCAAGAGAGGACCATCATGGCAGAGAGACGTTGCTCTCTTCATTATGGTCAGGGAGCAGAGCACAAAGGTAGTGGTGCATGCAAGAAATACTCCCTCCAAAGCCTTGCCCCAGCCCTCCAACTATGCCCCACTTCCAACAGGCCCTTCAGTTATGAACATCAGGTATTAATTTGCTGATGAGTATGCTCTCCTATGATAAAATAACCTTCCTGGATGTCTTGTAATCTAGTTGACAGTTAAGCCTAGCCATCATAGGTGGACATAGATTTAAGCTTAAAATGCTTACTCTTTACATCTTTAAGAAAAAAAAATATTGACTTCTCACTAGGCTATTATAAATTGTACAAAATAGTACAAATGGCAAGAGAGAAAGTATAAAGGGAAGAACAATATCAGATTAGTCAGTAGGATATGAAATAGATTTCAAGTGATGATTTGGTAAATTATATTGATGTTTGTGTGGGGTGTGTGTGTGTGTGTGTGTTTGCATGTAGATGTGAGTTTACAGGTTTGGCTTATCTGTAGGGTAGGGTCAGATGTACTTTTCCTGTTAGATTTGTTTACAACTCATTTTGAAAGAAGAAATTGAAAGGAGCATAGCCATTTCCAAGGAGAATGTCAATGAACAAATATAAATTTGTACGCACTTCTATCTGCCCCAGTTAAATGAAGAGAATATTCTAGTCCTGTCTGTGCCAAGACTGACATACATATGGGTGACACAACTTTTATTTGTAAACCACAGAGCCTTTGGAGTTATTTGTTACTAGCCTAGAACTTAGTCTCTCCGAATTAAGACAACTTAGAATCAAACTATGCAGGGATAAGAAAAAGAGCCACAGCTGTAGGTGAGCCCGGGTCCTGAGACCCATGAACCCCACCTCGGGATGCTACTCTAGCCACCCAGCTGACCTTTTACTGGGACCTGGACCTACCACTGGGTTCTCACCAAGCCAGGGGCAAAGGAAGATGAATGCCAAAGAGACACGGAGTCAGTTTAATGTGCCAGAGGCCAGGGGCCTGTGGGCAGAGGAGTCCCTAGTGTCTAGCTCATCTTTCCTTTATTCACCCAAACACAGGCACAATAAAGGAATCAACATAACACAAGATTCATCAGCTTTCCAGTATCCATTAGTATATGCTCTGATAAACAATTTAACCTGAGGTATCGCGACCTTCCTCTAGAACCTGCGATATACAATCACTCCTGATTGCAACCTTTCCCCTTTGTGCTCACAGAGGAAGCCAATCAGTCCTTGATTCTCCTCTGGTCTCCAACATACAGCAAAGGTAATGACTGAGAAGAGACAATGAGCTATATACTCTGTACCATTTTGGAGAAAAATAAGAAAGCATTAGACTTTCTTTAAGGAAGGCATAACCTGAAAGATAAGAAATAGATATTTAATTTAGAGCATACTATGATTTCTAAAGAGTGAAAATAGACTTCCTTAGCAATGAGGAGCCTCAGAAGGCTGATGAGAAATAAATGACATCGCCAAAATGTCAGAAGAAGATTATTCTGTTGCCAAAGAATGGCTAGAAAAACAGGAAACAAAAAGAAATTTATCACAAGGCTATGGCAAAGGAAAACATGACATAATATCCACCAGAACTCAAGCATTGCTGCCTTTGCACTTAGTTCGATGAGTCAATCAATGCATTCCATCTATTTGACTTTCTAAATGCCACTAAAAGCAGTAGTTCATCATGTATTTTGTTAACCAGGGTCATTGCTTTGATTCCAGTTTCCACTCTTCCTCCCCAGACTTCTGTGGCATCCTTGCAGGGCCATCTCTGGCTTCCCAAAACTGTCCATTATCCGGCAACTGCAGCTTTGCTTTACCATCTCCTTACTCTGAGATCCACCCAGGCTGAAAAGATTCCCATTTGCATTGAAAAGGGAGGCAAAGGTCACCAAAAAGCCAGATAACCTAGGAAATTTTCACTCAAGCAGTTATAAATTTTGTTCAGAAGGGACTAACATCACTTCTGGTTATATTTCCTTGGCCTGAGAAAAGTCTCAGGCACTTTGCTAAGACAGAAGTCAATGTGACAAAGAAGTGCCACCTTCTTTTAGAGAGCAAACTATGAGAAAGGCCAGCATTATTTAAAAAATATTTTAAAAAATAATATAATCTACTATAATCTTTCTGACAGTAAAACAACAAAATTTTGAGGCTTTTCTAACAGAGTTCAGCATGTCAGGGAAAATACTTCTTAGTCTTACAGTTTCATCTTTCTATTTACTATTTATTTTAACTTATTTTAATATACATGTTGAATAAAATCATTGAAAGGATTCATGTTTTTTAGAAACATAGAAAAGAATCAGAATTTTCTGTTTTTTCTATTTTAAAATGTATGCATCTTTGCTTATTTACTTGAGAGCAAAGGATGAAAAAAAAGACCAATTTGACAGGAGTTTAAATGTCAGACAATCCCCAATGCTAGTGCAAAAGGACTTTATCAGGGTCCTTACTGAGAATAACACAGCTTAATTACACAAGAATTTCTAAAAACACTCTACAGAATACCTCAGAATGGTTCAAGCAAAAGACAATAAAGTCCCTTACCTTATTGGCCTAGATTCCCACTCAAAGATGCAACTCTTCGCCCTTCTTAGATAGTTACTCAAATGTATAGAGTGATTCCTACCACCTTTGTCAGGATGAAAAGAGACTGAAGGTAGAAAGTCAAAGATAAATCACGTTCACTCAAGGGATTTTCCATCAGCAAAAATAGAAAACCAGGACAATGTGGATCTATGCCTTTCACCTGCAATTAAATTTAGAAGGTCCAAGAAAATGTAAATTGTCGTCTAGATCCTAAGATAATGTCCATGGCCATGAGCAAGGACAGAGGGCTTCAGGTTGAGGCAGAACACCCTGAAAGTCAGGATGAGCTGAATGTTCTTTGTTTCATTGCCATAAAAATATTGATTTTTAAGAAGTATTTCCCTCATGAATTGACTGATATAAATTAAATTAAAATATGCATCCCTTTAGGTCTGAAGTGAATGGCAAATTTGAAATAGTGAATGCTATAACCTCTGGGGACAAAAGAAAAAGTCTGCTTCCCAGAAGTGTACAGGAACTGCACAGTGTGTCACAGAGCAGATACACATTTAATATTTTTACAATGAAGGAACATCTTTCCCAAGACATTTTCCTAAGATCA